CTTTTGTTTTTGCCTCAGGGTTTTGTGCGTTCCCGGGGCACTGCGGGTCATCTGCCATCAGCAACCCCCTCCTGCTGTGCCAGCGCCGCTCTCCTTGGCCTTCTCGGCAGTTCTTCCAAAACACGTTGCGCTCCCTCTGGTGTGGCTCGATACAGGTGGAAAGAAGCTTTCCACGACCGTTTCTTCTTTCTTTTTTTCTCCATATCCCTTTTTAACTGCTCTTCGCTGCGAGCTGTAAGCGGTTGCTGCCCCTCGTGTCTAACGCAGCGGGGGGGTTGCGGCGAGCAGGCTTTGCCCTGCCTGCCTTTGCTTGTCTCGGGTGGTGCTGCGCGGATGAAAGCTCCTTTGAGGAGGGAGGATACGGTGCGTGTTTTTACATGGTCGGGGACCAGCTGCACCTTGAAATCAGGTACTTTGTAGTTGCGGTTGCGAACCAGGAGAGAGGTGAAAGTACAATTAATGTCTGGTGCTCCACAGAGAACAAGAGTCGCTTGCTTGCAAGAGCGGTGGGGAACGAGTTACGGCCTGACCCTGGTGTTGAGTTTAACCCTACAGCCTGTACACCAGGAACAGCAGAAGATCTAAGTCACGGTGAAGGAAAGTGCTCAATACATGGAATTTTTATTTGAAGTTGGGTGTCTAAAGCTCAGTCCTTCAGGAAAAAGGAACTGCAGTCCTGTGGCCATGGTGCACGTTAGGAACAAAGTTGGGATGTCCCAAGCTTGTTTAAATGTTTCAGTGCTGAGAGATTCTGGTGGGGCTTCTTGGCATTTCGAGCACATTGTGCAGCAGCTGCCAACAAAAAATGCTCCATATAAATGTCCTGAAAGCTGAACACTAAACTTCTGTAACACAGATGAATATGCAGCCCACGCCTCTATTTAAAATGCAGACCAAACGCGGGCCACATAGTTCTCCAAAGTGTCTGCTTAAAAACGCTACATGCTGTAGCCTGTAGAAATCTTTTGAGAGTAGCTGTATTTACACTTAAAGACGAGGTCATTCACTGCCTGTTTGATTGTTGCATGTAGGGTTTAATTCGACTTCCTGCCAAAATGCTAATTTCACATTCAGCCAAGAAGGATATGGAAACTTTGTCAACATAGAGCACACGTGGCAGTGGCACGGTGTGGCAGCGAGTTGCTTATGCACGTCGGTAGGGTTGCGTACAAAGTATTTTAAAACTGAAACCTTTGTCTTCTCTTCTGGCGTCACGTCCTCATGGGTACTCAACTGCTGCCCTTCTTCAGTGGCATCAGAGGCTGGAACAGCATTTGCTGCATAGAAGTCAATCTTCAAGCTCTGTTTCCAGGAAATTTTGTCTGTTTTTAAGGTTTCTTAAAAGAAGAAATGAAATGCAAACTCTGAGCCAATCAGAATTCTCCTTGATGCTGTTGCTGACCATGCAGCAATTTTTAAAATGCATGTATATGGTATGGAAATCTATAAGTGAGAAGTGATAAAAAATTACAGACAGTTCGTGGCACATCTTCAGTGTTTGTTTGCAGCTTTATTATTAGAACAGTACAGGCCCACACATGTTGGCAAAGAAATACTTTCTCAAATTCATTGAGTTGGCACTGTCCAGCGGATTTTTTGAAGTGCTATAAAAGCTAAATAATGAAAAATTAATAACTTTAGTAACATTTTTTTTCTATTATGTACTGGAATGTGATCTAAAAAGTTAAAATTATAAAATCCAAAGGGAATATTTAAGCCTCTTTATAATGCTCTCTGTATATTTTTTCATTTTTTTCCCCCAACATATTTTGCCATTTCATTCTGATTTTGAGATCTGTGAATTTTATACAAAAAAAAAGAATAATCTTCTATTTTGAACAGCTGCATTTATAACTTTAAGAAAGGAAAGCTAAGTATTTTAAAGAGAGAAATCTTTTAAGAGCCTCTTGGTGAAGATGCTCTGGTCAGAAGTTTTGAGGAAAGAATCTTTTCTCCCTTTTCCTGCTACTTGTAAATACGAACTCATTAATGGCAGCTTCCCTGAGATCCCACTGGGAAGTTCAGCTATGTATTTTTTCTGTGTTGTGCCAATTCTGTGTCAATTGGATTTTTTTTTTTTTTTTTTCTCCCAGAGAAGCAAGTGTTTTCTGTGAGAGGACTTTCTGTATTTGAATTAACTTGACGTTGCAGTTACCAGGAGGAGCAGATGGGGACCGGTAGCCTGTTACCCCAACTTTCAGCTCTGTGCTATCCCGCTGAAGGCTGCAAGCAGGCTGCATTGTGCTAGGCCCTGCTACACGTAGTGAAAAGTATTTCTTGTGCTCTGTAACTGTATTTCTTGATTCTTAGGGATTGTCAGCAGGCTGATATAAAATATTTATCTGAGTGGAAGCAGTGGAAGAGAACTAGCAGTAAATCATTGAAAAAAGTTCTCAATGAAGTCAAGGAGTTGTCATCTTACCTGGAGCTTTGGCGACATGATATTCACAGCATAGAAGGTATTTATTGCCTCATGTTGATTTCTCCTCTTTAAAGTTGCCTCTGTTACTGGTAGTTTTATGTATGCGAGCGTAGTTTCAGATAAAGCTTGTATGTGTTTAAGAAGGTACCTTCTTCCCTTATTATCGCTGATGTAAAATCTATGATGCAGTAGAAGGAAATACAGTGGAGAAAATTACTAAAAAGTCACATTTCCATTTTGCTTATATTGCTAAAAGCCTGCCGTACTTAAAACTAGCTTTAGTAATGTTTCTTCAGTTAACTTAATGTAACTGAAATGATAATCTGCTCATTCTGTGTTTTTATTGGCACATGTTTCTTTTATTCCCAGGGAAATTTGGTACTGGCATCCAGTCCTACTTCTCCTTCCTGCGTTTTCTGGTCCTGCTGAGTTTTATAATTTTTATCCTGATGTTCAGTTTTGTTACCCTTCCCAGCATCATTTCTAAATATGGAATATTCAACAGTAGTTTTGCTAAAATTCCTCCAAAGAACGTAGGTAAACATCTTCTCTATGCACTGCTGTTGTTTGTAAGATTTCCCCTTTCTATCAGCTTCTCCTCCACCTCCCAGGACAAAGAAATACTTTTTTTATAAGAACTTGCCATGGTTGAATTAACTTGATCTTGCAGTTTAATGGGCATTACCATTTGAGTGACTTTTCTTGCCTTTCTTTTGACAGAGCTTCACTGCACAATTTATAAACCTAGTGGTAATAAGGGACTGACTTACTTCTACACTTACCTCAAAGATTTGCTCAGTGGCACTGTAAGTAATTAGATTTTTTTAATTAAGTTTCTGTGTCTCGCATAACATGTAAAATGTGAAAACATTTTACTTGGGGAATGAAGCTTTGTTAATGCTGAAAAATGATAAGGCATATGCACCACTAAGGTAAAATTAGCCTTTATCCTTTATCTGTGAGAAGGGCAGTTTTCAAACTGACTTTTACTGAGCGTCCACAAGGCTGGGTTTTCCACGTGCTGCAGCCTGTGCTGCTCCTCCCCAGCTGCTAAACATCACATATTCTGGAGCACGCTGCCTGTTGTGCTAATGTGTGTCCTCGTCACAGAGCTCTTTGGCTGGAGAGGGGAGGGATTTGCAGCACGCAGTCTCTGCGTCACAGTTTGGTAGAGGCAATGGCAGTGTTTAGAAGCTACAGACTGTTGTAGCTTGCTGGGGGACCCAAAAGTAATTTTAGATTTACAAAATGATTGCTTAATACCAGGTTGGATGTAACTGGGCAGTTGCTGCTACTGTTACAAATTCTATTTAAACTTCATGTTTTCACAGGGGTTCCTTGAAGTGACGAGTTTGTTTTATGGCTATTACACGATAGATGCTGCATGGCTCAGTATCCTGAGGTACAACTTGCCACTAGCATATCTGCTGGCTACATTTGCCTACCTGGCATTAAGTCTCCTTTGGATAATAAAAAGGTAAAGCTATTGGTATAGTTTATTTATTGCTACCTATTGCACAGTTTGCATTGCATTCTTACTTGTAGGGAACATGCTGTATTCTAGAACTGTTTTATATGGAAATGGAGAATCTTTTGCTTGAGGATGCAGTGCAGCAGTAGCCTTTGTCTGTGTTTGGGGAACTGAGCCAGCAAAATAAAAAAAACTAAATAAGTATGAAGTATTAGTTTTTCGTATGTATACATACCTATAAATAGAAGACCCTCAACTATACAGTAGTTGTTGGAGGATTTTCTTTTGGGTTTTCTGTGGGTTTTTTTTCACCATCTTAGTTTCCCCGGCCAGCTCTTTGCAGTGTCAGAGAAGCACTGGGTGAGGTGAGAAGGTATGGCTGTGGCTAAGTGCAGAGGGAAGTCATGGCTTCAGCTGACTCTGGTTGCTGCAGAACCTCACACTGAAAGCTTCCCGGACACTGGCTGACACAAAGCAACTGTGGCTGTTTGCTTATCGTGAGGATCATTTAGTCTCTGATGAGCCAGGTTGCTTGAGATGTGGCTTTTTATTTCTTTTTCTGTGGATAAAATATGTCTTCCCATGAATGAAGTAAAGTTGCATTTTTCTCTAGGTCTGTGGAAGGTTTTAAGCAGAACTTGGTGCATGGTGAAGATCAATTTCAGAGTTACTGTAACAAAGTCTTTGCAGGCTGGGACTTCTGCATTACAGATCCAAATGCAGCACGGCTAAAACATCGCAGCTTGCAATATGAGCTCCAAGTGAGTAACTTTCCGTTTTTCTATTGTTATGGTTTCTTATGGCTTAGATGGCTAAAAAAGAGAGGTGTATAATCTTGCAGATAATGGAATAAGGATAAGAAGCATTGAAGTAGTTTATATTGGGTGCAGGGCAACCCGCATCCTCCGCATCCTCTTGCATGCTTTCTAGGTGCGACGTGAGAAGGATTGACACTGAGGTTGACGGCCGTCCCCCCATCCACTGGGGACTGAAGCCAGCCTGTTATCTGCTTGTATTATCTGCCTCTTCCTCACACTACAGTCCTGTTTCCTGTCTTAGTTTCTACGTAATCGAACAGGAAAAGCTACCCCAGCTGTGGGCAAAACCCTTGTACTGTCAGGAATCAGTTTGAGTATTCTGCGTTGTAAGTCTGCAGTGTGGTAGGCAGTAGGTTGGGGAGGGATGACATGCCGATGGTACTCTTCAAACAATTTGAGAGCATGTGGCAGTAAGAAGATACTGAAACTTTTCCATGAGATTTCTTTGACACACATGCACATAGAAAATGCTGATGCAGCTAATTAGATTTCCCAAATCATAAAGCTCTCTGAAAAGAGAGTCTGAAAGGCTTTTCTGGTGAAACCAGTGCTCTGTTTTTGCTCTCTGCACAGTGGAAGCAGAGATTTGTGTAGTGAAACAATTACGTCTGGAAAGATATTTCCACTTCAAACCACAAAGCACTAATTACAGATTTCATAATTACAGTGAGTTGCTTTCTGCTCTAGTAAAGTTCACAGTCATCTTTTTTCATCATGTAACCAGAGCCTCCTTCACGTACCACACTTTTGCCTCTAGAACTCACATCTTAAAAGAACTTGCCCCTTAATATTACTGTTTGATGGAAATAATTCCTCAGAAAATACCTGGGTAATCTGTGGGTTTGCCCAAGTTAAATTGCCTTCACAGGCAATACTGTATTTTCACATCCGCTAATGTGAAATATGTCAAATTTACATGACAAGCTGCTCAAGACTGTACTACTTTCTCTCTGCGCCATCCCCCAATTTTCCTTCACGAAGAGTAAGAGAAGGAAGTTTGAGCCATAGTTGAGGATTGGTTGCTTACCTGCAGAAGAAAGGAGATGAGTGGGCTGATTTACCCATGTCAGAGTTTAGTACCAAGCTAACTGAGATCAGGCTCTCACGATAAACAGGCAAGTTGTCTTTCATCCTGAAGGAGATACGTTACTGATAGACTAGAGATAAGGTGATGACAGGACACTTGTCTTTGGCTACAGGGCCCTCAGCCTGAGGAGACTGAGCACACAGTGGCTTCCACTCCTGCGTGGACCTGCTTGTGTCAATGAAGAGGCACTCTCAGTTCAGTGTGCTTGGGCAGGCAGTGGAGTGACCCTCCTAGAACAGGCTATGGATTTGCACACCCCAGAGGTAGAAGACATGGTCTCAAGTGTTGTATGCTGCACCAGAAAACTACACATCCTTTTTCTTTTGTTTGTAGACGGACTTGGAGGAAGAAAGACTGAAGCGAAAAATAGCTGAGAGGACAATGAAAGAAAAGCTACGCATCTACTCTCTGAGAATATTTATAAATATAATTGCCATTGCAGTTTTGTCAGGATGTTTTTACTCTATTTATAGAGCAACTGTGTTCTCTCAGGAAAACTCCAATGTAAGTATCAGACATGACATTAGGAGGGATTCAATTGGGGCTGGTGATTACAGCAAGAGGAACTGTTGTGAAAGAGTTGAGTATCTTAATATAGCACCTTTCATGCAAGGGATCGGAAAATGCTTTCTACAGACTTAGAATTTTTTTAGTAGGAGAGACTAAGAAAGATCGAGAGTCACGTGCAAAACAACCTCAGTGCTGTCCGCCTTTGATGCAGAGGCTTCAGTGTTGTGTCCCTTGGAGGTACTGCAGACAACAAGCAAAGCAGCCCTCGCTTCCCTTCCCGTGTAGCTGTCCTCACCTCACTGGGATCCGCTAGTACAAGCGCTTGTGTGTCTGGGCAGGGAGCTGGCTGAGGGAACTGATCTGGATAAAACAAGCTTCATCGTGATCGGTTTCTGGATACAGTTCACTGCTCAACTGCAAAAACTAACGGCAAGGGAGGGGGAGAGTAAAGATTATGATCTGTATTGTGGCTTGAGTTACAACTGTGTGGGGAAACAGGAAGGCTTTGAACATGGAGCACTTTGCAGAAGAAAAGGTTCTTGCATCAGTAGCGGAAAGAATCAGGTTGGGTGGGGTTGTTGCCCCCTGGCAGGACAAGCAGATGGGAAGAGTGGTTCAGAAGCAGAACAACAAGAGCAGACAAGAGGCTCAGCAGTTTTGCAACAGTAATTTACTTCTCGGTAGGACCCCAGGGTTGAATTAGCCTGATGTGAATGGGAACCGCACTTTGTCTCTCCGCTCTGTTCATTGGTGATGCGATGGGCGCTGGCTGTGTACGGGGAAAGTTCTGCTTGTGGCCGACCTAACTCTTCACTTTTGTAAGCTGCCAGGACTGCAGAGAGAGAAGCAGGAAATGGGGACTAAAGAAGTGTTTGTGTCAGAGGTATTGTTTGAGGGCAGAGGAAGAGGATAGCACAATACTGAACAACTTGAAAAACAGCTTCGCTTACTGTGGGCTTTATGTATAAGGGCTGATATCTTGACCTTCCCTAAAGGCGTAGGTAGAGGAGCTTGTTAAGATGGTAGGAAGGTCAGGGGAGCTGCTTGGCACCAATGAGAGCAGTTTGAAAAGTGTCTGCACTTTGACATATGTGTAAAAGCTGGTAGCCTTAGTGCTGGGTTAGGTGACAATCAGAACAAGCTGAGACAAGCCTCTTCAAACAGAAACTTTGGGGAAGCACAAAAATACTCCTACTTGGAGGTGGAGGCAGTTACTGGTGAAGGGAGCAGGAGAAAGCTAGGATGTGGCGCAGAGATAGATAGCAGTGGTCAGGCTTGTAGTTCCAAATATAGGTGGAGGATGAAGACAGAGTAAAAGGTGCTACCTGAATCCTGGATAAGAGAGGCTGGTGGGTAGCTGGAGAGAGCATGGGTCAGGAAGGTGTCTGTCTCCGAGTGTTGTCTTTCTCTCATCTCTTCCTGTACAGGACATCAGCAATATGAACTTCCAGGCTAATCTCTTAGTGCAGTATTTGCCTTCCATGGTGATCACATTGGCCAACTTCATTGCTCCTCAAATCTTCTCATTTCTGATCAGATTTGAAGATTATTCACCAGCCTTTGAAATCAGGCTGACACTCATGAGGTAAAGACATTTTTATTGTGGCCTTGGATGTTTCAACAGCTTGTTCTTGGTAGGTCATAAGTATTGTAAACATTGAATATCAAGAAGCAGAGAGGTTGGATTCTATGCGCTGGAGGACCTGGGCACTAGAAGCCAAGCAGGCATTGTTTGATTTATGTGTAGTGGGAAACTCTATTTTTTTAAATCTGGAAACAATCTCCTGTTTTGATGACAGTACAGTGCAGTCATTTCAGTGTGCCAGGTTTTCATCTCAGTCCCATTTAGCTGTGTGGTCTGGATATCTTCAAAAACCTGCATAAACAGTCAGTAGAGAAGTTGTGGCTGCAGAGCTGTGGATTCACACTGCTTTGTGTGCAGCAGTTCCTTCAATGAACAAATGTGGGTGTACAGCAGTGACTGAAGCACAGCTTTGCTCAAGGTGGAAGTTAAAAGTTTTGGGATAAAAGGTATTTCAATGTGAGGGCATGAAGAACTAGCATTTGGCAGCTTAAGGCAGTAAGATCTGGGTTGAAGCATCTGAACTCTGTCAAACCCCTGTGCTTTGTATTTTCGATTTGGCTAAGTGCCTCTGGAGGCCTGAAGCCGCCTCAGAGGGAAATGCTCCACACAGAGTTGTCGCCTGGCCTCTCAAACTGTACTTGAGAGAATTGCAGCCCATTGGGGTGTCAAGATCTGCAACTGCAATGACTGATCTAGGAATGATACTGCGGAGGAAAAAACACAAGGGACTGTAGCCTAAAGCAGGGAAGCTGAAAAGCAATTTAACTTACTACTAAGGAAAGAAATGTGTTTATTACCCAGCTGGCTGTTCCATTAAAGCTCTTGTATTGACCCTTTTGTGTTCAAGCCTTCCTTGGACTCCTGTGCAAGTTGAGCCAGGTGTTAGAACGGCTCTTCTTTAGCAGGTTTGGAATGGGGTTTTGCCTTTCTTCCAGGTGTATCTTCGTGCGGTTGGCCAATATCGGTGTTCTTTTGTTCTCGCTGTGGAGTCAGATCTCCTACTGTGCCACTGACGAGTGTAAGGCCTGTGGATACAATTACAAACTCTATCCTGTAAGCAGATTTATCTTGGTCTTTAATCATCTGAACTTGTGAATAGAGATTTGCTTTCCATGAGACTTGCTTGTCCAGAGGTATTCAGAATCAGACCTGGGGTTGCAGTTCATTTTATACCTGGTGCTGATTCTTAGTGTTCAGTGCAAACCAGTACAGTTCTTACATATATCTTTCGTTTGTCTAAAACTCTGATTAGGACTAGCCCAGTGGCAGATTATCATTTAGCATAGACTTTCTGACTACCGTGAGGAATGTTTGAGGTAGCTGTTTTGGAGACCATTGTTTTACTGCCTTTGCTCCAATAAGACAAATGGTCTTTCCTCAAAAAAAAAAAACCAAACCAAAACCAACACCAAACAAAACCCAACAAAACAAACAAACGAAAAGCTTGGTATGGGAGCTCTGAAATACTTAAAATATTTTAGGAATAGGAGCTAATACAATTTGAACTTTATGGTGTTAAGTGACGGAGACATTTGTTGCTGTAGTGATTGACAGATTTATTTTTCACTTGTTATTTAGACCCCTAATCTTGTTTTTCCTGACTTGTTTTTCTAGTGCTGGGAAACTGAAGTTGGGCAGGAAATGTATAAGCTCATGATATTTGATTTTATTATAATTCTTGCTGTGACCTTGTTTGTGGACTTTCCTAGAAAGTAAGTATCTCTGCCTTTAGGGCATACTTCTGCAAATGATGTATGAAACATTTTCTTTTTTGCTGTTATTAATTGCCCATATTTCTAACCAGATTACCAGTTTTAAAATAAAGCGTAAACATATTTCTGGTGGCTTAAGCACTTGTTTGCTATTCAGATGGCTGTATAATTTTTGATGTTTAAGTCTTTCTTTTTTTTCTTCAGATATTTTTCTGTTATGTTGTCTAATGCTCAAATGCTAAATACCTGTGTGTACCAAATGTGTCATAATTTAGCTAAGCTCTGTAACTTCAATTTTGACCTAATGATATTCTTTGTTTTTAGGTTGTTAGTTACTCATTGCTCTTGCAAGCCAGTTCAGTGGTGTGGATTGCAGGAGTTTGGAATTTCTGACAATGTCCTAGAAATCATTTATGGGCAGACTATCTGCTGGATTGGAACCTTCTTTTCACCACTTCTCCCTGCAATAGCAACTATAAAATACTTCATCATCTTTTACATTAAAAAGGTAATGAAGGTGTGTGGTAAACAAACAAAATTGAGCACACCTCTGTGGTTTTTGTAATATAGGTATTCAGTTGATTTAAAACAAACAAAAACCCCTAAAACACCCAGCGGTACGGTGTACTGGAAATGAGGTAATGGTATTCCATTTTCTGTAGGTTTTTTGCTTTTAAGAGAAGGTAGAATTTTGCTTTGAAATCAAGCAAACCAACATTTTAATAACAACATCTTCAATTATTTGTCTGGGTTTTTTTTTTTTTTATAAAGTCTTTTTAGGCAGTAATAGCTAGTTTGTAACACTTTTCTGCAATAATCTATTTACTAGCAACACAGCTTAGAAATTGGACAAAATTTTGCCAGACTGCTAAAAATTTGGAAGCAAAATGGAAAATCCAAGCTGGGTTGGATGTTCCGGATGTGATGTCTGCATATCAGAAGCTTTGCTGTATGACCACACAGCTCCTTCTGGGCATCAAATTCTTACTAATGTTTTAGTTCTTACAAGAGGGGACGTATATAGTGAAGATGTGGCAGAACAAAGCTAAAGGCTGCACCGTGGATCATACGGCAAGTGACTCTCTCATTTGGCTCTGTGCAAGTCTATGAGGCCCTCTGGATCAAGTTCTTACTCAAAATAGGAGACGTGGACTTACACCAGAATGTAAAGCGTTCTTGTCTGAGCCTTTTTCAGTCCATGTACATCAAAGGAAGGATGGTTATGTGGTAGCTGGTAGCATATTTGAGAATGGAAAATTCAGTTGATGGGGAAAGTATAGTTGAACATATGTATATAGAGGTACTGGTAACACTCTTGCTCACTTTCCCTCTTCAGATCAGTTTGATGCACACATGTAAACCTGCAGCTAGACCTGTCAGAGCATCAAGTTCCAATTTTTTCTTCCTGGTGGTGCTGTTGATCGGGCTCGTCTTGGCTTTTATTCCTTTGGGAATCAGCATAGCACAGTAAGTGACAATTTAACTTCTATGAAGTTGACATTTTGTTCTAAGGTTGTCAGTTCCCTAAAAACAGACACACAACTTTGGAATGGTAAATTGGAATAAAATATGTAGTGTATAATAAATCAAATTGTAACTTAGTTCATATAAACAAAAATTACAGTTTTAAAGATAAAGGACATTTTTACCCCATCAGCAAAATGGTGCTGGGCTTGTGTTGGATTGTTTTATCTTTACATTTTGATGTAGCATCTCCTGTCTGTTCTGCTTCTTTGACAGTATCCCCTCCTCCAAGGCATGCGGGCCGTTCAGGAGTTTCAACACTTCATGGGCAGTTGTTCCAGATACAATACTTGAGCTTCCAACAGGTCTGCAGCAGGTCCTTTATGGCATAGCATCAGAAGCCTTTGCAGTGCCTTTTTTTATGGTCATTTGGTGAGTACTGTAGAGACCTGATTCAGTCATGCAGCTGCATGGTTCATTTCCTTCCTTGCTGAACCAAACAACTATTAGACCAGATTTTCCACCTGCAGTCAAAAGCATCACAGCCCATATGAATCCTCACCTCTTATGTCTTTTCCCATGTGTTCACACTCATTAGCTTTATTCTGCTTCCTCTTGCATGTCTTATATCCCACACTTGTCTTTCTCAAAAGTGTTAACTGTGAATCATTCTGCAAATTAGTATTGTAAGCCCTGTGATCACAAACCCTATCCGCAAACCTTGGTTTAAACAAAAACCCCAACAAGAAACAAACCCTCCAAAACAGTCGTCCTTGTCCTGGTTTCACTGACAGTCCTGTAAGATAAAGTTCAATATAGAATTGTAGAATTTTTAAGGTTGGAGGTCACCTGTAGAGATCATCTAATCCAACCCTCCTATTCAAGATAGGGTAAAGTAGAGCAGGTGCTCAGGAACTGTGTCCAGTTAGGTTTTGAATATCTCCGAAGATGGAGAGTCCACAGCCTCTCTGAGCAACCTGTTCCAGTGTTCGGTCACTCTTGCAGTGAAAAGTGGTTTGGTTTTTTTTTACCCTTAGTTTAAATGGAATTTTTTGCATTTCTGTTTAACCTGACTGTTTTCAGATCTTGGAGCCTTGTTACCTGATACTTTCTACAACTTCTACGTGTGAGAAACTGTGCAGTTTATTTCGCACTGCACCCAACCCTTTCTTCCATAACACAGGTTTATGTTCTCCTGAATTGAACCTGTTATTGCGTACACAGGAAATACCAAATCCTCTTTTGGGATTTGGGTGGGTTTTTTTCTTTTTTACTTTTATGGTAAAGCTTATGTAAGAGGCGGAGGATGACTTGCACTGCTACCCTACTACTTATTATTTGGAAAAGAAAATACATGATTTATATAGGCATTTGTGCTATTCTGGTTCTTGCTACTGCTCCTCATCATTTAATGCACTGTGGATAATTTGGGTCACAGATTACATCTGGAATATGTGTTATAAGGAATGGCTACAATAGTGATCTGTGGCTGCTTACCAGTTACAAACCCCGATGGGAGCAAGGAGCTACTCCACTGAAACCTCATTAAACTTAATTTCTGAGGAGCAAAACCCCCAAACGTGCACTTAGAGCAGGGCAGGAACTAACAGTCTAGAGAGAGCTGTCAGAACACCACCAGTAACATCTGCATGTGGCTTTGCCTCTACATCCCCCAGTGCTCTGTCCTTGCCCGCTGGCAGCACAGATATCTCGGCAGATGCTTTTGAGCAGAGGTAGCCCCAGCAGTATTTTGATTTTTTTTTAATTTTTTTTTCCTCCATCAGCTTCTCATCTGAAGCGAATGCACAAACCGACAATTCCTCTAGTCCTTAACAGCCTTTTTCTGACTAACTCTGTTTTGCCTGATGCTAACATATAATGTTGGTTTGTTGTTTGCAGCCTCATTATGTTCTATTTTATTGCCTTGGCTGGAGCACACAAACGAGTGGTTGAGCAGCTGAGGGAACAACTGGTTATGGTAAGATTTGACCCACTTTTCTGTATCCCTAAAGTTTTTTTTTTGTTGTGTCGGTAATCGGGCATGCAGAGGAACAACAATTTTCATAATCTTCTGGATACTTGGTGTTTGCACAGGCAGTGAAGAATGTTCTACAAATTACACAGGAAAAATAAACTAAGCACTGTAATATTTCTCAGTCTAGTTAGTTTTCTTGGGTATCAGCTGCACCTGCAGGAAGGTCTGGTTACACCAGGCAACGCACATGTATGAGATATGCCTCTGAGAAGCAGTGTCCCTGTTCTTCATCTGTTGCCTTGCTTAAATCCAACCATCTGCATGGGCTTTTTCCTGCCAAACAAGAACCTGAATCTTGTGCTTCCTGTCCCCTCCACCATCTTACAGAACACCCACCTCTATTTCCTTCTCCACTCTCACAAACAGGCACCCAACTCCCTACCCTTCCCTCCAGAGCTATGTTCCTTCTGTGTCCTGGTTTCATGTCTGGTCCTATTCCTGAGTGCAGGTCCCAGCGCCACTTGCAACAGGTACTCAAGGTGGAGCAAGTCACCACTAACTAGTCCTTTGGAGACCAGTGCCAGTGCAGATGTGCTGCTCTGAGGCCATCAAAAGCTGCTGCCATGTTTGACAGCGTTCCTGTACTGTGGTCTGTCAAACTCTGCTTTAGTCAGAACTTAGCCTCACTAGTAACACTTCCCACTTTCTTAGGAAATAGCCCATTTCTTGGTATGTGCTTCTTCTAGATGTGGCATTTAACAACTAGTCCTTAGAAAAACACTGCTGGGGAGAGATTTTTGGAGAGCAAGGAATTGAGGAGCAAAAGCCTTACTTTTTCAGGGGTTCCGAAATCAGTTAGGAATTCTGAAAATCTTTGCGTACTTCTTATTTTTGTTTGTTCACTGTTAGAATTCTCAGAAGTATGGTTTCAAGTTTTTAGGTGTGTGAGGTGTTTTTACTAGGCTCAACGCAGAACTGTTAATAGGTGACCTAACATGAGATAAATGAAGTCAACACTGTTGTAAACTTAAAATTGTTCAGGCAGTTGAGAGTGTGCTGGGAGCCACTAACTAAAGTGCAATGTGGTGAGTGCACCTATTTGTTTCTAATACAGGAATGAACTGTGCATAGATAATTTGTACTACTTCTGTTCATCTAGATCGTACTTTTTATTCTGTCTTTCCAGGAGAGTCGTGACAAGCTGTTCCTAATCAGAAAGATAACAGAAGCTCAGAGGCATCCTTGAAAACCACGAAAAGCCAGAAGAACTTGACTTCCTGAAACTCACAGAACCACTAGGTAAGAGTAGAAGCATCTGCAGCACCTAAAATCTGAGCGGCTGACTGGCACCCTGGCACTGCGGTCTGTGTAGTGGACGCTTATGGTCTCAGTCTTGATTATGCTAGTGGGCCTTAAAGTTTCCAAGACTGGAAATTTAGCTAATTTATACTGTGTTAGAACTGTCCAAAAAGTTGTATGGTAGGACATTTTATTGATGCTACAATTTCAGGGCTGTTGGGGTTTAAAGTCCCTATTTTTTCAGGGATTTCGGGTAAAAAGTGATCAGAACTGAAACTCTGTTTAAGAACTTTGTACTGTTTTTACAAATTATGGTTTAAGAATCAGGAGAGAGGGGAAAGGTGTGGTTTTACATGTTTCCAACTCACTTCTCTTTTAAAACCAAAGCAAAAGAGAGATGTATGTCAGTATTTTGAAATACTACATAGAAGAAGAAAATACAGCATGGGTTTGAAATCAGTTTTCTAAATATTTTTAGAGAAGAGAATTTGATATTTATTTTGCTCTAAAATAGCAAGGGCAGTTGAACACTGGATAACTTCACAAAATGATTGAGAGAAAACAAGCTGATAAAAGAGCTCTGAATTAACACTGGGAGTAGGAAGAGACCACCAGTCAGGTCACCGAGCGGTGCACGTCTGTGGCGGGGAAAGCCGTCGCTCGGGTACCAGCCTCACTGCTGTGGAGTAGCCTTTTTTTTTTTTTTTAATGTGTTAAGGCATTATTACTTGTGTTTTATTCTTGTACAAACATCCTGACTACTGTTCTCTTTGTTCTAAAATGTGAATATTTGAAAGTTAAGTTACAGTTTGGAAACACGAGCATTCAGAAACTCGTGTGTCAGCACCCGTTAAACTCATGTTTCTTCTCGCTTAAATGAAATGACGGAGCTGTGTGACTTGGAGGGAACAGTATTTCTAAGTAGACTATGAACTGTGTCCTTTATTTAAATTGTGCTTAAGGGTTTTCTGTACAATTGCGTTTATTACTTGAAATTTGCCAGTAGCGCGCTGTTAGTTAATATGTGAGACTATTCTTTTTATATAATGTTTTGTAATGTTTGCTGTCATAATTTTAAAGAAATTAACATTCAATAAATTATTTCGGTTTTTAACACAATTTCTGATGTTTTATCAATTAGTTTGCTCCTGTGCGGCCTCGGCCGGGTGTGCGAAGGCCTGTGGGGCGCAGGGCCGAACGCCCCTCTGCTCTCCGGCGCACCGGGCGCTAACATCGCCTCGGCCGGCACCTCCGCTCCCC